AAGAACAGGAGAGAGATGATGAGGGTGTATGTCAAGTAGGACAAGGAGATATGGAACAGCAAAATATAGGAGATACAATTTTTGAAGAAAAAGATAGAGAAATAGTACAAAATCAGGACAATACAGCGACATTAGAAAAGGAGATTGTCGAGACTCAAGGAAAGAAAGAAGGAATGAATTTGGAAAATTTTATGCAAGTGCTCATTGGAAAAATGGATGAAAACAATAAAAAAATGGATGAAAACAATAAGAAAATGGATGAGAACTATAAAGATATAAGCAGGAAAATGAATAAATTAGAGGAATATAGTAAGAAAATGGATGAAAATAGGAAACAAGATAAAGAAGAAATAATGAAGAAATTTGAGGATTTTAAAATATACACTGACGAAAAAATTGAAGAAAATAAGAAGAATATAAGAATAGAAATGATAGGAAAAATAAATGAAGTAGAAAATGAACAAGATAAGAAATATAAAATAATAACAGAAAAAGGAGAAGATTTAAAAAAAAAAGATTTATACAGTGGTAGACAGTGTTAAAACAAGTGTAAATAAAAATGATAGTAGGATATCGAATTTGGAGAAAATGAAGGAAAATATCAAAGAAATAGAAGAAGAATATAGTCAGAAGTTAAACAAGCAAACAGGTAATTTGGAAAAACAATTATCCAAGAGAAAAGATTTTAACATATTAGAAATAAAAAAAGAAATAAACATAAACCAAGACAATAGAAGCAAAATGATAAGAAATAAGAGGGAATGTAAAATAAGAAATGGTGATCTTGGAAAAGAAAAACAGAGAAAATATTGTTTAAAAAATAAAGGGAAAATAAAACTAAGAATAAAGAAAATGGAAGACGATTATAAAAAGAAGACATTAGCAAGAAAGAACATAATCAAAGAAGAATGGAGAAACATAACCAAAAATAGGGGATTGACCGAAAAAGAAAAAGTCAGAAACAAAGTAAAAGAAAAGTACAAAGAAAGCTTCAAACGGGGATGTAAAATTTAAAAAGAAGAACATAAGGCTATGGAAAACGGATTATTAGAAATAGAAAATAATATAGAATGTACCGCATAAGATAGGATAATTAAGTAATAGAGAAATTGTGGAATAATATTTAGGAAATTAAATAAATAAATTCAAATAATGGATAAAAAATGTAATAATTATAAACAAAAATATAAAAAAAAAAAAATTATAACTAAATAATAACAAAATAGTCTAAATTTATTAAATATCTTTCTAAAAAACAGCATTAAGAAAAAGAAGAAGGAACTAGTCATTATATGAAAATAAGAAAATAGATAAATAAAATAAAATTTAGAAAATTAGTGGAAAAGAGAATTTATGTTTAAAAATAAAGTAGTTATGTTGAAAAAGGAGCTGGAAGAATTAAAAAGAAGATGAAAGCCTAGAAAGAAAATGAGTTAAGCTGTAGGAGAATAAATGAAATATGATGTGTATTATGAGAAATATTAAAAAATGAAGTATTATAATGATGATTTATAGAGTAAATGTGAAATGATATTATAAATAAATGAAGAATTTGTGATAATGGAGTGAAAGTGATTAATTAAGGAATAGAATGGATTATGAATAGAGATATGGACAGAACGAATATATACAAGAGACAGAAGAAATGATTAGCTAAACAATGTATCAAGAATAAAAAAAAATAAAATATGAAAGAAATTATAGCATGTCAGAGGTAGAATTAGCAAGTATATATTTTTTGTGTTGGAAAATTACGTTTTTATCTATTAGGGGGGAAGTTTTTTTTGTTTAAACAGATCATGTGGCTTTAACTATAATATTAAAAAGTAGATCTGGAATTAGTAGGATCCATAGATAGATATTATGATTTTGAGTTAGAGTTATTAGTTAGTAAGTAGTTTATATGTTTGGTTTGAATGAATAAAGAAAAATTGACGAAATCAACATTTCAGGTAGGGAAATTATAACCAATCAGGGAATTTCAATATTTGGATAAAATTTAAAATTTATTGTTCACAGTATATTTTAAAAATATACTGGGCGAACAATTAATTTGGGGGATTTGATATAGAAATTCCTGACGTCATCAAAATTAATATTTAAATTGAGCAATACTGGGGTGGTGAAGTATCTTGAAATCAAAATTCAAGTTAAAATCAAAATGTCGGGATTTTTGTTGATTATTTTTTGGAAAATGTCAGAAAGAAAGGAGTTGTCAGAGGGAAATTGATATAAAAAGATTAATAGATATAAAATGTTAAATAAAAATTAAGATTATATTAGAATAATAAAGAAATGTTAAAGACTGGGATATTACAATAAAGAAGGTTGGAAAAATAAAGGTAAAGAATTTTATTTAGAAAGTGAGAAATATTATATAGAACCAGAGATAGAGAAAGAGTAGCAGGGAGAGATACCAGGGAGAGATATTAAAAGAAACACGACAGAGACAAGCAGATAGATACAAACAGCACACATAGGTAGGGTCAGAGACAAGCAGATACGAGCAGCACACACAAAAAAGAGATAAGAAGACAGATAGACGCAGAGAAGATTGAAGAATTTAAAATTTATTTTTTATTTATTAATTAAATTTGGTAAATAATATTTTTATGTAAATTTTTAGAGCCGAACCACCCCTTTTAAGAGTCTGGGCAAATCTATTTAAAATATTGATATACAGGGGGTTTCTATATCAATATATATCAATATATATATATATATATATATATATATATATATATATATATATATATATATATATATATATATATATATATATATATAAATATAAAGAAAATAAAAAATATGCTCGTTTAAATCGTTGCACCTATTTTTAGTTCATTTTTACTTACTGTTTTTTTAAATAAATAATATTTATTTAAATAATATTTACTTTTACAAATTTGATACTTAATAATGGATGTTCAACTTATACAGAACAATGTTTTTTAGCATGATATTCAGCTATGAAAGAACAAGAAATAATCTCAGATGTTATATATTCTTCTTCAACCAATTCTGTATTAACTTTAGCTTCTAAAATTTCTGAGATTTTTTACTAGAATTATAATCCAGCACAAAGGAAACCTAAAACACAATATTTTTAAAATTTATTTTTAGTGATTAAAATATTATTACACTAGGGCGACCATACTTACAGCAATTTTTCTGTATTGTAAAGCATTTTTAAAGTTTGTCCAGCAATTGGTATTGTGCAGCAAACGTACAGCAAAATGGCATAGGTATATATATCCAGTGAAATGCTGTATTTATCCACCAAAACGTCACTACTGCCCAGCAATGGTAATACTTAATTTACTGAAACGTAACAAATTTAAATGTTATTTATCTTTAGTGAACTACATGAGCACTTCTATACTGCCGTTCTAGCAAGAAAGGTTTTATCTGCAAAATTAGCAGTTTTTTTTTATGTGCATTTGTCTACATTTTATCTTTCTCGATACTGAAATGGAATGTCTTATTTGCAACAAAGGTACTAAAATGTTAAAAAGTTACACAAAAAAAGGTTTAAAAGATAATAAATATAAATTTTCAGATAGGACTTCTCTTGTTAGGATGGCAGTATATGACTTCTCTGTTTTTGTATTTTTATAATTGGGAGTAGGGTTGAGTATCGGTCAAAGGTATCAATACCGGTATCATGTGAGATACTTTGTGGTAGAGGCATCGATACTGTTCAATATTATGTTAAAGATATTGATATTTATAAGTCTTGAGTAACAAAGTATCGAAAAAGTAAAAGATTTTTTTAAACGGCTGACAACCCCCATTCAACAGGACGGAGTAGGGAACTTAACTAATAACAAGAGTGTATCAGTAAAGTATATTCTGTAGTTGACACCTTTTCTTTCTCTACTGGTACTCTACCTGGTACAAGTTATAGTGTCAATAACTGGCAATTTACCTTATAATTAAATAACAAAAAAACAGTGGTAACGCTTAATCATATTACCAAGTTTCACCACATGCAAAAACTAAAATATTTCAGTACAAATATTTGAACAAACCTTATAATCTCTGACCACACACATAGCGATACAATACTTGCTTCTAAGTATCACTATGGCGATAGTATTGGTAATTCAGTATCAGTGCCTAAATATTGATACTTTCATTGTTTAATATCGTTACTTCTATAGTATTAAGGCATCAATAAGATCCCTATTATCGTGTAAAATAAATATAAGCAGTCATTTAATTGTAACTACTTGTTTACAATGATTTATTTTTTATTGTATTTGGAAATTGAAATTTTACCATCTAAAACAACAGACAATAAATTAGAAAATTTATTGAAAAGAAGAAAACAACTTACCAAACTTATTCAAACGTATAGTTTCCAATTTATTTAAAATCTCAAATACGTACAAGAAAAAGTGACAAGTGACATTTTTTTATGTTTTGTTGGTTATGACAAACGAATGGCTACGTTCGAAAACAAGATTATGTCCATCGTGGAAACTTTTTTAGCAAGTTACTTAATTACGTTGTGTTATCATAACAGGCAGGTTAAAAACGTAAGTAACAAATAGATGTTTCGCGAGGTTTTGATTTCCCTCAACAACTTCTCATTAACGTTGCAATTACGTTGTATGGGTATGTTATTATGTTCCCTTAAAACAACATCGCCGAAAGGCTTGGCAACGTTATGTGCTAGCTGGGTATAAAGTACCAGATAACTACCCTACAGATTATTTCTCTTGAAAAGACGGAAACCTAATTATCTGTAAGATAGTAACTCTCGGATAATATATCCATTGGTTAGTTAACTGGAACTTTATCTGAAGGTGAAAAGACCGACCCTAAAATAATTAGGGGAAGATTTCATTGTGTTATCAGAACGATCTGATACTGAAAACATTACTTTGTGTTATCATAATTATCAAGTAAGGAATTACCTCATTTCTTAATCAACAATAGTCGAGAAAGTGTAGTTTTGTATGAGAAAAATTATATTGTGATATATTTTCTTATAGGTATAAGAGAAAATATAAAGAGGCCAACACTGAAATTCCAAAATTGAAAAAGGAAATCGAAGACCTTCAGCAGAAAGTAACTACGCAGGGTGCCATTCAGGACTCTAAGGAAAGCATAAAAAAGGAGGAGATCAAAGAAGAAGATATGTCCAGCAGTGATGGTTCTCAAATTAAAGAAGAACCTTTGTTGCCAGTCAAAAAAGAAGAGGAAGACACTGAGGTATTCAAATATACTTGATTCTACCAAAAATAATCTTTTATAGATGGAGACAATGTAGACAAAATATTGGAAAATGATTTACAATTTTCAAAATAGCAGACATTCTGGTCTGTCGAGCAGTAATCCCTACATTTATTGATATTTGTGAATCGTATAATTTTACTTGTTCCTGAGGAAATTATTTTCTTCTACTATTGTCAGGACTTGATTTAGCTTTATGTTTTCTTCTATGTTCTGGAGAGACCTGTAGTCATCTTCTTCTACAATTCCAGATTTCTCTTCTAATTCATCTATTAAATATGATATTCCATCGATAATCAGCTTAAAACCCTTTATTTTAGTATCTAAATTTTTTTCACTAGCAGTTTTCTGATGTCTTAAAATATTTATTCTTTCTCGATCTTCCTTAGAAAGATCATCGTTCAAAAACCAGAGTTGGGTCGGATACAGGAAAAAAATATCCGAGTACCGGATACGGATACTTACAATGTATCCGGATACTTTTTAGGATACTTTCACCTAAAAAGTACTCGGATACAAGTATCCGGATACTTTAAAGGATACTTTTACGGATACTTTTGAAGTGAGTTAAAATAATGTTTTCATACCAATAAGATTGATTACGAGTAACAATAAACATTACTAGACATAAATAAATTATCGAAAATGGAATGTGATATAATAGAAACAGGAAATACTACTCAATAAATTGTTTATTATTTTTATTCTGTGAATATAAAGCATTAAAACAAAATGAATAATAAAACATAAAGGTGCGTGTAAATAAAACGAGTCGCGCCAAAAACCAGCCAGTGTCGTGTCCATGTAAATCTAACGAAATAAGCTCGTTGTTGGCGCGACTTGTCATGTTTATACAACCTTTCGATATTCTCGTCAGTGTCTGCAAATATGGCGGCAACTTTGCAGATCTGCAAATATGGCGGACTTACAGATGCAAGTATCAAGTTTTCGTATTCCAAAAAAATATCTGCAAATTCGTAATATTTATTGTGGTTTATTACCCCCAACAACACAATTCAAATCCACCCTTAAGAAGGTTATGTTACGCAGGTTGTTGGTATCACAATTTATTTCAACTGAACTTTACAATAACTATAATTCAACTTTGACAATAACTTTACAACTGATAACATTCACGTATAACGTCTATTATAAAACTGAACTCTCTGACGTCAGGTCCTCGACTTATATAGCTTGGTTGATCCTCCGAGCAATTACTAATAGAGGGAGCGTGAAAACGAGTTTGTAGGCGATTGTTGTGTTAGCAACATCTGTAGAGGAAGTGAGGAAGCGGGCACAAGGGGGAAGGTAAACATCCTTCTTGTTCAGTGGCGTATCATTTTCCTATAAAAAAACACATTATCCAAACGTTTTAATTAAAAAAAAAAAACTAAAAAATTTGCTAATTTTACTATTTTTAAAATTAATACCGTCTTATAAGTGTCTAATGCAGGAAATGAAACAAAATCACTGTAGAGGTCTAATTTTTTCAATTGAAGAATAAAACCTTAAAATCAATTTTATTATAAATAAATACAGGAGCGACTAGTTTTGGCCTTACAGAAACATCTTCAGGCCTGTATACAATAATCTTTAATTATTATAATAGGTTGGTCACTTACGAATAACATTAAATAGTATAAACCACAAAAATGGATCCATATTGTAGCGTTACAGCATTATAGAATTAAAGCTGTGAAAATTAAAAGAGCAGTGCAAACGTAACTAAAAATAAGAAAACTGAGTACGGAATCTACAAGAGAAGAGGGAGAATGAGCAATTACGAATGCATTTAAATTGCTCGGGATAAAAAATAAAGCTGATAATGTAGTGGTATAGTCCCCGTCAAAGAAGGTCTTTTTTTTTTTTTTTTTTTTTTTAATGGCACTGGATATAACCAAAAGGCCAGACTATTGTAGTAATCCATAAATCTTTAATTGTTTTATCCACTATTGTTACATGATTACATTATTATTATATTTTGACTTACAGCTATCAAAATACCTGAGTTTGTAATTAATTATAAAAAATGTCTATTTTTTTATTATTTGTTTTTTTGATTATTTTTTTTTGTATTATTTTTTTTTTTGTATTATTTTTTTTTTGTATTATTTTTTGTTTTTTTTTTTGTATTATTTTTTGTTTTTTTTTTTTTCATTTTTTCCTTGGTTTCATTTTCTTCTGGATATGTTAAAGAGGACGGCGTTTCCTCTGTAAATCTGGAGAATGTAAGGATGGAGGGAAGACGAATCTTGCTGGCTCAGGTGTAGATGGCTAGAAAAAGGGGCGTGTAGATGAAAGCTCCAGTAATTATCGTCACTTTCGTCTAATTTTTTATTCTCACTCACCGTTTCCGCTTTATCTTCGAAATTCATTTTTAAAAGAAAATAAAAGTAATCATTCATACAAGCATATAATAAAACAACATAAATTAATTTTATTTAATAAGCTAATAAACGTTTGTTTCAATGAAAAAAAAATAATATGCTTTAATATCAAAATCAATTTGAAAATACAACAGATAATAAAATGAAATAAATTAATACAAGTACAAATAGAAAGTTAATAACATACCTTCTTAAAGTAACACATTTTAAGTAGATAAATGTTTAATCTAATCTAAGTTTTTCCCCTTTTTAATATTATGAGGGTTTTTGTAGTTGAAATGAAAATTATAATTTATTTTGGTCCTAATAAAAATTTAAACATAGGTTATCAAAGAGTAAAATACATAATAGAACTTCATAATCTTAAATCGTTATCAAAAATTATTAATGGTAAAACTTCAAACAATAATTAGATTCTTAAACAAATTTCCAGTTTTTGTTTTGCAAAAGACTTTTTTGCCTTCTTCGGTTGCCTCTGCCACTTTTCTTTTAGTAGTTTCGAGGAGAATTTTCTTATGGAAACCAGTAGAACCATCAATTGGTTGGTAAAATTTTGATATTTTGGGTCTGGTAAGTCTTGTTAAACTTTTTTCTTAGGAAGCTGTAACCATATGGAGAATAAAAATTTAATGTTAGATCAAAAGCTCTTAATTGAGAATTATATTTGCAAAGGCCGTTTTAATAATATTTTTAAAAGTTCTTGGAATCGTTGTTAACAGAAACCTGCAAAAAAATATATCATTTTATTCCCAAAATATAAGATATCACACAATGCATATTCATATAATATCATTGTGCTAGAAAAATACTAGGTAGGTACTGATACAATTTAAAAAATCTGATGTGTCCAACACATGACTTTCCTATCTAGTTATATAAATGTTTAGAGGATAAACTAAATATATACATTGTCCACATACATCTACCTCGAAACATTTTTCTATAGATATTCATGGAAAACGAAAATACTGAAAAATTTTAATTTCCTACAATTTTTTCATTACGGTCCATTTTAGAAAAATCATGTATAAACAAAAATTATAGAGATCGATATCGCAAACAACTTTTATTTCAAAAACTTTCATAATAAAAATCAGAATTTTGCACATTTTGTCAAATTTCTCGAATACGGACCATTTCAGGAAATTTTTACATAAAACAAAAATTACAGATAATAATATTAGAAGTAACTTTTATTTGAACAATTTTCCTCTCCAAACATAAATAACAGATATATTTCATAAAATATAAAAACGGCCTCCCATAAAGTACCCCCCCAGATGTTCCGACTTTGTCCAAAATCTAATCATTTCACGTCAGGCCGAAATAAACCTTAAGTTTAAAATTTAATGTTTTTTTCTTTATCCGTTTTTGAGTTTTCTTCAAAATTCGAAATTTACACATTTTCTCAAATATCTCGAATACGGTCCATTTTAGAGAAATTATGTAGAGAATAAAAATTATAGAGAATTATATTACAAACAACTTTTATTTGAACAATTTTAATAAAAAAATATTTTTTTTTACATTTTGTCAAATTTCTCGAATACGGGCCATTTTAGGAAAATTTTGTATAGAACAAAAATTATAGATAATAATATTAGAAGTAACTTTTATTTAAAGAATTTTCTTCTCCAAACGTAAATAACAGATATATTCCATAAAATATAAAAATTACCACCTATAAAGTACCCCCCCAAATGTTCCGACTCTGCCCAAAATCTAATCAGCTCATTAGACGCTGAAACAAAGCTTAAGTTTAAAATTTGGTGTTTTTCTGTGTATCGGTTCATGAGTTATGCGTTATACAGACACACACACACAGACATCATCGCGAAAATAGTCAAAACGGATTCAGGGGACCTCAAAACGTAAAAATCCGTCGAAAACTCGAGGTCGAAAAAAATCATGATTCCTATACTTTCCTTATATCTGTATACAGATAGGAAAGTAAAAAAGTATTTCGAGAAACTCAACTTTTAATGTCATCATTGTAAAGGGTTTTCCAATAAGAGGTGTTATTTTGAATAGCCCGCTATTTCGGTAGATGTCACTTTTGGAGCTGTCATGTTTTGACATTTGACAAGTAGAAACTACGCCATTAATAAAATTGGAACGATACACGCTTCAACAACGCATTGAAATTATTAAAATTCACTATAAAAATGGTGAAAATTTTTGGGTCGTCGTGAAGCACCTTGTTGGACCGCAATACATAAATTGGTGGAAAAATTTGATACAGAAGTATCCGGATACTACCCAACTCTGTCAAAAACAAGCCCTTTTTCCTAAGCTCCTTTAATTTATTAATATCTTTAAACAAAGTTGACTTTTTTTAGATATGTAGCGAATTCTACCAATACTGGAGAGTTTTCAGATTTTCCAAGTTTAAATATATTGTTATTTAACGTTCTTACAGTCTTTTCTATAATATTTTTTCCTTCTTCAGTGTTAATGCCGAAAATTACAATATTATTTTTCTTAGCTCTTCTTTCAAGTTCTTGGCCCTTTTGTTTTAATATTGATAGTTCTTTATTTGCATCATTCACTTTTTTAGTAAGTGAATTTGTAGTTTTTTGTAGTTCTAATTTCAATTCTTCAGTTTGCTCTCTGTTGGCTTTTAATATTAATTGATATAATTGCGCAAATGCAGACTCTTTAATACTGCCGTTTTCCATAGTTTGCAATAAAATAAATCAAACTGTGCATTGGTACCGGTATAAAATTTGAACACCTTCTGATTAAAGTGATGTGATTAAGTATAAAACCACTTTTTTATTAAAATTTGTGTACACTTTTAGTGTGTAGAATTAGGTTAATTTTCGATAATCTTCCAAATTTTTTATATTATCAAATTTCTCTACTAGTACACGTTTATAATTATAATTTACGTTTGTTTTTTTTGTTTTAAATTCTTAGCAAAGTGAAGAAACAGAAGTCAACAAAGATCAGATGGCCGGGGGCGCCAACGATTCTCCTGGAGCCAAAAAGGAAGGGGTCGTAAAACAGGAGAAAGTAGCTGTAAAGAAAGAGAACGCTCCAAAGACGGACGCGCATAGGGAGGCAATGAAGGCGAAAGAACAAAAGATCATCGAAAGTGATTTAGTCAGGGATCTTAAGAACCAACTTAAGTAAGTGATTGTAATTCAAAATTAAGTGTTCATTGTATTTGTATTTTTAATATATACAGGGTGAATCTTAAGTTGATACTTTTTTAACTGTGTATAGAAATAAACTCGAAAATTAAGAAGATACAGAATTATCAAAATTAAATCCGTATCTGGAATTGTGTGTTAAAATTTATTAAATAATAAGTCTGTTTATATTTCTTTCAGTAATGAATCACGCTGTCATTGTCTACCATATTGTAATAACTCAGTTGTGATTACAGTGGTGTGTTTATCTGAAGTACCTAGTGAATTTAATTTGTTCAGTACGGTAAATTATGACAAAAATAAACTTTGTGGATATGTTACTTAATTATGACAAGTGTCTTCAAAGTGCAGCGGTTGCATCGATATTGTATAGTGATTGCTTCTTCTTCAAAAGTGTGGACAACATTGTGGCAAAATTTATTGTATTCCTTTCACGTTTAACGTGTTCAAGCACTACAACTTGAAGATTTTCCCCGCATATTACAATTTTGTGAATGGTTCGTACAGTGGCATAAATGAGGTCAACATTTTTCGACAAAAGTTCTAGCTGTGAACAGGACCGTATTGGATACATTTTGGATTAAATTATTGTAAGTTTTTTTTAAAGTTGTTTATTTTAATTAATTCTATACACAGTTAAAAAAAAGTATCAACTTAATATACATTTTTGCTCTTTGTCGCACCATCCTTCATTGGCTATTATACTATTTCAGAAAAGCGTTAAATGAGCAAAAAGAAATGAAACTTTTGTTAGACATGTACAAAGGGGTTAGCAAAGAGCAGAGGGACAAAGTTCAGTTAATGGCGGCAGAGAAAAAACTTAGAAGTGACGTGGAAGAACTTAGGCAGACATTAAAAAAATTACAGGTTATTTAAAATGACTATATTATTCCGTTAGCAGAACATCAATGTAGCAATTTTTGTGATATGTATGTCCCAAAAATAAGTGCCAAAATTTTAACATAAAAAAATATAAAAAAATTTTTTTTTTAATTCTTTCTCTTTAAGAAAAGTGTGTTTATTGGTAATCGTAAAACTTTTACACAATTACCAAATGGCCATCGACCGAAGTCCTTCAGCCTATTATGTTAAATTTGTTTTATTACGTTACTGTTTGTTTTTAAATATAAATAATTGTTCTCAAAAAAATTACCTAGTAAAATAAAAAAAAAAAAAAATGACAATTTTATATTAAATGATTGATTTTAATGTATATTTCTATATTGTTCAATGATAGTTCTTTGTGGATGTCTTCTCTGTTGTATTTCTAGGTTTCTTCTTCTACACATGGTCTGTATTGCTACGATATTTCCTTGGCGTTTGTAGTATTTTTCTGACATGCTGGTGAGTCTTCTTTCTATATGTTGAGTTTTTGTTTTTCCGTATAGCATATCGTTTGACGGATTATGGAGTGGATTTCTAGGGTGTCTCATTTTTGTTATATAGCCCTAAGCGTTGAGGTTTCTGCGACCTGCAAGTTTTTGATAGATGCATTCCTTGTGTTCATATACCGGGTGTTCTAAATTAAAGCGTTACAGCTATATACCGCTTTTTATAAAAAAAAAAAACGTTTCAGACGAAAGTTTTATAGTTTTGTAGGGAAAAACTTTTGGCTAAAATCGTTTTTTATAGCTAACCATAATATGGCCAACTTTTTTTCGTGCAGCAACATTTTCAAGTAGCTGTTACTCAAAAAGTAAAAGTCCAATAAAAAAATATTTCCCTCAAAAGTTTCTTATTTTTTTATGTACTTTAAGAATATGTAAGAAAAAAAGGGGATTCCCATTTAAAAAAACAAAGTTTACCTCGATATGGCCAGCTATAAAAAAATGAATTTAGTCAAAATGTTTCCCCCAAAAAACTATAAAACTTTTGTCTGAAACTTTTTTTTCTAAAATGCATATTTTCGGCGGTATTTAACTGTAACACTTTAATTTGAACACCCGGTATAATAGGGTGGCAGTATTCCAGAATGGGTCTACAGATACTGGGGTATATATGGGAGGCGCTTGTTAGAGAGATACCTTGTTTTTTGTATGTCAAACATCTAAAATGCTTTCCTCTAGTAATACATTTTTTCTTTATGTTGCTGGTGTGCTACTTGAAGTTCATTTTATCGTCTAATGTGATGCCCAAGTATTTAGCATCATTTATACAAGCGATTTGTTTATTTCCAATGGTTACTTTCGGTGAGTTCGGGGTAATTTAATGGTGAAATATCATGAACTTACATTTTAGTGGGTTTGATCTTAGATGCTATCTGCTGTACCATGTTTCGATGTTGTTTATGAGATTTTGTAGATTTTCTATCGCTATTTTTAAACTTGAATTGTGGCTGATCAGTGCTGTATCATCTGCATATTGCAAGAAATATAGTGCATTATTGAAATATGCTGCATCTTGATTGTAGTTGTATATATCGCTACAGAATAGATTGTAAAACGTGTATCTTTTTATCAAACTGTTGCAGCAACGTTGGCATCGGTGCGGTATCTACTTGTCTTTTTTTTTCATCAATCTATCATTGATGAACTAACAGCGCTGTCTTTTTATCAAACGTTGATGTAATCGATGCAACACCATTCCATCAATTTCAATGTATGACGTGTGTCTTTTTTTCCACCGGTTTGTTGGAATCGTTGTTTCGCCGATGCGACCTTGAACACCTTGTGTTGGATTCGATTTATTTATGGTTGACCGTTGAAATAAATAACGGTTGACATTTTGGTATAAAGTTTGTGTTTATAATTTTATTTGAATGTACCTAGTTACTTTAATTTGGACGTATACATTTTTAAAATCTAATTTTTTCTGTTTTCCCATAAAAAACAATTAAATAATTAATTAACTCCTTAATTCTGATTAATTCCCGCAATCCATAGCTGTCAGTTGTCACATCTAATCGGATAAACCATACATTGAAATGATGGTATGGTGTTACATCGATTGCATCAACATTGGAAAAAAGACGGGTAGATACCGCACCGATGCCAACGTTGCTGCAACAGTTGGATAAAAAGACACACGTATGGTTTTTCCGATTAGATGTGACAGCTGGATTGCGGGAATTAATTAGAATTAAGAAGTTAATTCATTATTTAATTGTTATTTGTGGAAAAAACCGAAAAACATGAGCACTTAAAAAAATATTCGTCCAAATTAAAGTACCTAGGTACATTGAAATAAAATTATAAACACAAATTTTATTCCAAAATGTCAACTGTTATTTATTTCAACGGTCAACCATAAATAAATCGAATCCAACACAAGGCGTTCAAGGTCGCATCGGTAAAACAACGATTCCAACAAACGGTGGAAAAAAAGACACAAGTAAAGCAAGGGGGAGAGGTGGGATCCTTGAGGCAACCCTTGTCGAGGAAAGATTTTTGTAGAGAAACAATTTTTGATTTTAACCTCAATTGATCTTCCTCTCAAGAAGTCGTTGATTATAAATAAATATTGGGCAGCTCATTAACCATAACTTGTACAGTAATCCTTTATGCCACACACTATCAAAGGCTTTGTTTATGTCCAAGAACACTGCTACACTTTTTTCTCCACATAGATTAGATGTTTGTACGTTTGTTGTTAGGATTATGATTGGATGGGTGGGTGACCTTTTTTCTACAAAACCGAATTGGTATTTTGGTATCTTTGTTGGATTTTGAAAATTAAAATCCACCTGCGCGACTTAATTGTAACTCTACCCTGTAGAATTAGAAAATATTTCCCTATCTCTCTGATCGGGTTTCAGAATACCACGTATTTCCGCGACACGGGGCGGTTCCCGATTCCCGATCAGTTACTCGAACAGCGGTAGTACCCCACTACTCAAAGATGAATGGTGTTGTTTTGTGTGCTAGCGGTGGAAACGGCTAAAATGTCTTTAACAACCCCTATGTTGAATCTCTTTTCAAGATGTATACGAGCCCATGTAAGCTCAATTAGATATTTTAACTAATATAAATAAAATCAGTGCTGAAAGTGACACATATGTAAGTTTTTTTTTACTATTTTTCTTTTATTTAATTTTAAGGAAAATTCGACTAAACGTGCAGTGTTGCCACGTGAAAGGCAAGACATTTCTGTTATTTTTGATCATTATAGTTATATTGTGAGAAGTCCTTCTGTTTTTTAAATAAATCATTTAGTATAGTATGTGTATGACTTTTATTCGTGTGAAAGTGGTGAGTTTTACACAAACAATTTGCTCTCTTGTATTGGTTAGGGCGGAAACTTTTCGAAGAAGTAACATCCCTCAAAATTAATTATACAGTCCACTTGCTTTCCACCCTCTCCAATACAATCTTGTTCCCACATTCTTGAATTATTAAATTTTGAATTATGTTTTCCAAATTCTTTCCAATTACAGGGAGGAGACTTATTGGTCTGTAGTTTTCAACTTCCTTGGGCTGGGTATTAGGTTTAGGGATAGCTATTAATATTGCATGTTTCCTTTCTGGGGGAAAGTATTGATGATTTAGGCAGTATTTATATATTTTTAGAATATATAGATGTACATTATAGTCTAGTTTCCTTACTATGTCTTTAGTTGTGGTATCATGTCCAGGTGCTGTAGATTTACCCTTGTCTACAATCTCAAAGCAGTCTTCCTCGATTTTCCCTTCTTCATTGTCCATTGTTGTACTAAAGAATTACTCGAACGCGGTAGTACCCCACTACTCAAAGATGAATGGTGTTGTTTTGTGTGCTAGCGGTGGAAACGGCTAAAATGTCTTCTTTAACAACCCCTATGTTGAATCTCTCTTTTCAAGATGTATACGAGCCCATGTAAGCTCAATTAGATATTTTAACTAATATTAATAAAATCAGTGCTGTCCAAAAAGTACGGTTTTGAGACGCCCATTTGAACCGCCAATGTTTTCTACACAAATAAGGTACTCTTGGTCATACGCTCTAAAGTCGACCGTTTTCGAGAAAAATCAAATTTTGTTTCATTTCCAAAAATTGACCATGTATTTCAACATTAAAATTTGATTTTTCTCGAAAACGGTCGACTTTAGAGCGTATGACCAAGAGTACCTTTTTTGTGTAGAAAACATTGGCCGTTTAAATGGGCGTCTCAAAACCGTATTTTTTCCAGTGGCGTAGGATTTTTTTTTTTTTTCTATTTCAACACCCTGTATCTTGAAAATGGTGCATTTTAGAGGGTAAGTTAATAGAAACGTTTTTTCATATTTTTGGATGAGCTATCACGTCCTGAAGTCCTGCGCATATATTATGAAACACCCTGTATTATTTTCTATATTCTTGGTGTATAAAACTAGATAGGGGGTTGTGTGACTTCATTGTTGGTCATGTGAAATATGGGTGGGGTTAGCACTTTCTTAAACTGACTTTTGTTGCAAAAGTTAACTTGTTTTACTTTATATTTGTTTATATTGAAGTCTCCAACTACAATACAGTATTTATAAAGTGCAGCCTTATTGAAAATAGACTGTTCGATATTTTCGTTTGGGTGTACGTAGACCAAAATGATATGTAGCTTTTCTAGTAATGGTGTAGTAAAATGGGTGGCTTCGTTTAGTGGGTTGTTCATTTTTGGAGGATTGTCTTTTTTCATTTTTAGTCCAGAATGTATCTGTACTAAACTGCATCCCCTCACATTTCTGTTCACTATATTTCCCTCCCTTTGTATTATGTCCCAGTTCTTGTAGTTTGTTTTGGTATCTGTTTTAGTTTTTGTTTCCACAAATAGGCCACAGTTAAAGTGACCCCTTTCTATTATGTTGCTTATAATTTGTTTTTTTGGTGTGTAACTGTTGACATTGCAGTATAGAATTTTAAGTTGGAGATGTAGGAGATGTTGATGAAGGGCAAACATGAGGATGTATATCCTGTTTCCAGAGAAATGTGCTATCATGTCAATGTTGAATTGTGCAACAAATCTTTTTCTTAATTTAGTTGTCAATTCTTCTCTGTTTGTGTTTTTCTTTTTATTAAGTTTGGATACGTATTTATTTAGAATGTGATCATGCACTGTAATATTGGTATGAATTTTGCTGTTTTTTGTTATTTTTGAGTCTATCTCATTTGATTTTTTTATGCAATAGTTTAATTAGGTTGTTAGGGATTCCTGCAATGGGTTTAGTGGGTCTGTTTGGGCATTTTAGTGACCATGCTGCATGAACTTCTGCTTCACTGCCTTGGCATTTTTGTGGCAATTGTGTGTTGCATTTGCTGGAATGGTGGGGCTCATTGCATTTGCTACATTTTATAGAGGCAGTACATTGTTCTCTGGAATTAGTAAATTGTTGATACCAGGAACACGGTTGTGGGATGGGAGCTGGAGGTGGCTTGGATATACTGGATAATATTTATGTTTATAGTATAATCCTCCCTTTAGTAGCTTTTCTGTTGATTGTAAGCATCCGGATATTATTCTTATTAAGAATGTTGCCTTCCGAGTTGTTTTGGAGGTTATTCTTTTGCAATATCTGTGTTCTATTTTATTTTAATTTATTTTAATATCATTCAGAAATTTACTCATTTCTTCATCCGTTACGTCATGTTCCACAAAGTTTAGGATATGTTTGTCTGCTAATAGTTTCTTCAAATGATCATTTATCTCTTTCTTGTCATTATCTGTTTTGAGTATAAAACCAACTTTAGTTTTTAATATAACATCGTTGGAGTTGGGTTTTATGTTATACTATATCTCAGAGTGGGAGTGTCAGGGGCTTTTATATAGAATGCATAATTAAATTGTCTATGTGTAATTTCCTTCATTTTTGCGGAGTTGTTCGAATATTTTCTCATCTGCTGTAAATTCCCATTATTATTATTATTATTATTATTATTATTATTATTGTTAGGCAGTGTATATGTGTTGAAGTTGTTTTGGTGTGGATTTCGATTTGCTGTTGAATCTTGACCTGTTTTTGTTGGATTGTTTTTTGTGGAGCTTGTAGATGATAAGGTTAAAGTATTTACATTAATATGTGTGATGTTTCCTAAAATTGCGTTTCTAATTTCTTCTTGCGATAGTGTCATGTTTTTTATTTTTTTTCTGTAGTAATTCGTGTTTTCTTTTTCTTTTGACCCTCACTTTATTCCATATTCCATCATCATCTATTTCCATCTCGAAATAGCTGCCATCGCTATCTGAAGACATTTTTTGGTTTTTTCTTTTTGTATCACTAATACTAATACAAATAATGTTCTTTGCTCATTGCTGTTTTGCACTGAACTGGTAACTTAGCCATTTTCCAAGGCGAAATGCTGCATTTACATAAAGTATGTCGCTTTAACGATATCCTTCTTTGAGTTTCTTTAATATTTCTTCATTAATAAGGTCCTATTCCGTGTTTTTTTTTTAATTAATCATCTGTAGGTGTTGAAATTAAGAAAAATGATCAAAAATGTTTTTTTCGAACAAAACAAATGATTTGTAATTTATTTTGACACAAACATTTTAAATATTTTTTTTTATAATATATTTTTTTCATGAAATTTGTTAAAATTTTGGCATTAATTTTCTGAAATAACACCTTTAATTATTTAAAAATTTCTTCTATTTATAGACAACTTTTGATATTGAAAGACATTGCTGTGTTACATCAAAATTGATACATTGATTTAAACTTTTTGGTTTCTAAATGGTGTCAAAAATGTTGGTGTGTTTAAAGCAACTGCGATTATAAATACAATATTTCAAATGAGAAAAGTATTATTAGTTTGTCCAAATATTTGACGCTGTTTAGAAAAAATCCTTTATCCATTGAACAAATTGTCTACAATATTTAGGCTATCTAGAGGGACGATAAACGTAAGCTGGCCGAAGACGAAGCCATGAAAAAGATAAAACAATTAGAGGAACAGAAATACGAACTTCAAAAACAGGTGGCCAATCAGAAACCTATGGACGGCAACTGGGGTGGACATAACGTCCATCAAAGGCCTTTCGTTGGATCTTTGGAAGAGGAAGCTCTTTTGAATGAGATGGAAGTCACCGGCCAGGCCTTCGAAGACATGCAAGTAAATATAAAATTGTTTTACTTTAATATACATAAAATTTTGATAATGTAGGAGTCTGCCCTAAAGATATTACGTTTTATTTATTTATGAATGACGCGTGGAGGAGGGGAAGGAATCAGTGGCGGCTCGTGGTAATTTGAAATGGGTGTTCACTTTTTCCAATAATTTTATCATTTGTAAGTTCGGATCAAAACCTTGTACAAGAGTCAATATCACTGTTTTTTTATTATCTGAGTTTGTATTAAGTGTAATTATTATTATCAACATCATACTGTTTTCAAGCATTACAACTATTAATAAATGAATATTTTAGTTAGTGTAATATTTGTTTTTTTTTTAATACGTTGAAAACAATCTAAACATTATTAGTTAGTAAACTGACTTTTCCTCATAATTTGAGATTATTTTTAAATATATATCAGGTAATGTAGAAACTTTACATTGATTTTTGTGTAAAAAATTTTATATGAAACTTTACCTACCATTTTTTAGTTTTTATTGTAAGTTTAATCATTTTCACAATTTGTCACAGATGTCAAATAAAAAATATATTTTTTAAATACCTTTTATTGGCAAATAAAATAAGAACTAAAATGTTTTAAATGTTTATTTTATAAGATCAGTCCCATCCGGTCCCATCACAATACATATTACACAGACACAAACTAGAATAAAGGTATATAATGCCTGGCATTCTAGAGGATACTCTTCGTACTTTAACAGACCCCCTTAACCCCCATTTTCAACCAGATTGTTTTCACAATCAATAGGCCTCATCTGCTTTTAGAGATTGATGTTTGCTAAACATTTCAAGTTTATATCATTTTTCAGTTAGGATTTTTTTTTATATTTTAACCCCCCTTAATTCCCCCATATATTCATATTTTTTTCAGTATCAATAGGCTTTATCTTCTTATAAAGCTTAATTTTTACTAAAAATTTCATGTTGATATCGCTTTTCGTTTTTAATTTAGGATTTTTTAATTTCAACCCATCTTAACCCCTATTTTTAATCAGATTTGTTAAAAATCAATAAGCTTTGTCCTCTTATAGAGCTTGATTTTTGCTTAAAATTTTCAAGTTGATTTCATTTCTCGTTTTTGACTTATCGTGTAGACAAAAAACCTGACATCGGACAGACAGACAAAATAAACCTATAATACTCTTCACAGAATACTGTATGAAGAGTAGAAAAAAAATGTATGAGGTAAAATAAACAATTTAAAAAGGTCAACAATAATATTCAACTTCTTTTATCAAAAGATACTAAAAGTTTGAAATAGCAGCACATAATTGAACACACAAATCTATGAACTAAACTAGTGAGATGCATATCGTAAAATGTTATCACACTTAATTCTCCATATGACACTTTCTAAGTGTATTTCACAGAACATTCCAAAGTATTCTTGCTTTCACTAATGTCCTACCCTCATGGCTGCTTTTGTATGTCCAAGTTTACTAAAAAATAATGTGTTTTAATAAATAATAGAATAATAACAATTTTGTTTAAATAGGTACATCGGCTTCATCTGTATTTTTAAATTATTGTTTAATTATAGATAGTATATTAATGTTTTGATATGTACTTATAGGATTGATTAGCCAGAGCATGTAGATGTGGGATGTGACTTGTTAAATGCCTAATCAAAATCACAATGCACGTTTGATACTTATTTCGAGACATTCTTTAGTACCAACTGTAAACTACTTTACCAATACCCTTATTTTTATTTAATACCTGTAGTGATTCTAATTATTACCATAACATTTAATATTTTTGAAAATACTAAATTATACAAACAAGGCAATAAAAAAATATCATTAAAATAAAATATTTCTAGTTTGTATGTAACAAACGACCTTGGTTAGAGGGTAACACAATTGATAATTGTAAACATAACTTTATATAGGTAAACTATTTAAATGTACATACCATTTCTTAGGTAAAATTTCTCATCGAGTATATTAAATTAATTGGCTGATCCATTCTTATGATTTAGACTTTTAAAGTGAAAACCATTTGTCTCTTTATCTTAATCAAATTTTTATTGTACATTTCCATAATGATGTCAAATAGTTACCTCATCAGAATAATTAAATTTTTCCTTTTAGCAGATTTTGTGGGAAAAAATTTACAGATTTTTTGTTTACTTCTTACTTCATAGTATTTACAATTGTGTACAAAATAGACCATTTTGAAGTTGTCTTTGGATGGTCTAGATACTGAAACAAAATATAAAACAAATTATAGTCGTAAAACTTTATTACTGCTTTATTATAAAGTAAATAAACAAAATATAACCTTAAAATATTTTATTTATTTACCTTGCCTTAAAAGTTTTTCTTGAACAATAATTACATTAACACACATCCTTCCAATTTATTAAAGTTGCAGTTCTCAATTAAACACATTTTTTAAACAATCACAAATAAAATAATCCTAATTTTATTAAAATAGATGGAATGACAGTGTTGACATTGACAGTTTGTACTTTGATTTGGTTCATAGTTGCCAGAATGTTTTTGTTATGTACCAGATTTGTCTAAAAAATGTACCAGATTCCTTAAATGTACCAGATTTTTCGAATTCTATTTGCAGTGACATCTAAATTCATTGAAGAGGAAAAAAGGGGATCTTTATTGATAACGAACCCAAACAAGGAACACAATATATACATATATTTTACACGTGAACACTGATGCATGCAGAATGTACTACATCTAGTACAATTGTGAATTGTACTAGACTGGCAACACTGGTTTGGCAAACTTGTTTGTGAGCGGCGCGCCAATTAATTTGTTCTTTGACAGTTTGAAGGATCTGTTGGCGTGTTTTCATCTCTTTTTAGCTATATGTATTCGTCAAATCGTCTCACTCGTGTTAGGCTCACTCATCATAATGCGCCTCAGACAAGGTTTACTTAGGTATATTGTGCCACAGAGACGCGATCAGCCAGAAAGCAATGATGTACCAAAAAATATAGATTAACACGTATGAAAATAAAAATATTAAAATTAAATTTATATTTTTATGTTATTTATGTAATTTTAAAATAATGTGTCTTTATGAAATTGAACTGGGTGTTCACTGCACAAATGAACCAATGGAGAAACCGCCCCTGGAAGGAATAGAGCAAGAGCAAGACGATGAAGAGTATGATTCTGATGACATTGAATGGTTTAACGTATGATAAATTATAAGCATTGCTATGTATTTCGTATTTTCAACATGTTTTTCATAATAATAGAAATTGTTCAGAAACTTTCTTCTTATTTTTCTGAAACCCTGGATCTATATATTGTTCCGATAGAAGTTGGCGAAAATTTTGCAAAAGACGCAGAAAATATAAAGGGTCTTCTCGGGTCAATATTCATCATCCCACTCTAAAACTAATAACCCACTATTAGGCAATTTGAGACTGCCACATGAAAAAAAAAATTTTTTTTCACTTTTCTATTAAATTTTGCAACGCAAATTACACACAACATTCGGCAATATAGATGAGATACCTCAAGCGCTACTTTACAGAAAAAATCCCGTAGAATCCGCCAATAATTGTCAAAAGATCGATTGGTGCCCGGATTTCCATTCATAGGCCCCATAATTTAGTGATCAGAGGTATGCCGCTGGCGCCATCTACAATTGGTCTCCAAAGTCCAAAACATGAAAATCAATGTATTCCCAACTCCCTCGAGCGGAAATTCAATGAGAAACTAACATTTCTATTCATTACAAAAATTCGGGCTTTTTCGAAGGCCGTTTTTGCAAAAAATATTCGTCTTGCGAAAAAAATGGTAGGGACCATTTTTTTAGATAATGATACGATCTTCATTTTTTATCTAAACAAAAATTGTCTAATTTGTATATTTTGGCAGATATTAGCGGGAAACCATTTTTTCGGACTTTAGGGGCCATTTTGAGCCCTTTCCGACCCAGCAGTGTTGATAAAAGTTTTCGCCCTTGAAAGCAACCGTCAAGACCTATGAATTGAGCCACATAGGAAATCTGGACCGACTTAATGACAGCTTTGCATATTTTCAGTTACTGAACTATTATAATAATTGAAAAATCCATTTTTAAGTAAATATTATTTACTCTGACTTTTAACACTTCAGTGACAAAAAAGAGAAAAACAATACGTCGATGAATTTAAATTAATGTTTTGATTATAAAACAAGCTTTGAAACGTTTTTAAGGCAATAAAAACATACATTTAAAAAAATACTTTTTTCTGCCAAATACTTTATTTTTTCTCATTCAAACAATTTTATATGGTTTTTTGTTAAAAAAGTTGGCAAACCCTATCCAAAAGGTTAATTATATGCCTCTTACAACTAGGCATATTAATATTTAATATGATGTACTTTATTGTTTTAGGAACAAAATTCTAGGCTAATCCAACAACTGAGAGAAAAAGACGACGCAAACTTTAAGCTCATGTCGGAGCGAATCAAATCAAATCAGTTACATAAATTGGCCAGGGAAGAAAAAGATGTTTTGAAAGAACAAGTGAGCACGCTAACCACGCAAGTGGACGCTGGCAATCTTGTGGTTAGAAAGTTGGAAGAAAAAGAGAGAATCTTACAAAACACTCTTGCAACGGTGGAAAAAGAATTGGCGCTTAGGCAACAGGCGATGGAGATGCACAAGAGGAAAGCTATTGAGTCTGCACAATCAGCTGCTGATTTGAAACTTCATTTAGGTTAGATTAAGTTTACGTTATCCCTTTAATTATTTTGCAGCCAATTGCAAGAACGTTCATTACTTACGATCTTGATCTGATAAATTTCGATACACCGAGAGACATATGACATTTTCCAAGTTTTGTTAAAGTTTATCAGGCTCATACATTTTAAGGAACGATCTTGCAACCAGTTATTGATTGGCACATCTCAGCTTATTGGATTATAGTGCTTTGTCCATTTAATTCTAAATTAATTTATATTATTTGATGTGAAATTTTTAAATTTCAGAAAAATACCATTCCCAAATGAAAGAAGCCCAACAAGTGGTAGCTGAAAAAACGAGTTCCTTAGAAGCGGAAGCATACAAAACGAAACGGCTGCAAGAAGAAATCGCTCAGTTGAGACGTAAAGCGGAAAGAATGAAGAAAATGGAAATGGCCGGTACCACCTTGGACGAGGTCATGATGGAGGAGATCAGAGAATACAAAGAGACCTTAACTTGTCCATCGTGCAAGGTGAAACGGAAGGACGCCGTTTTGTCCAAATGTTTCCACGTATTTTGTTACGACTGTTTGAAAACCAGATACGAAACGAGGCAGCGGAAATGTCCCAAGTGCAATTGCGCCTTCGGGGCCAATGATTATCATCGGCTTTATTTGTCTAACTAACGCTTTTACTTCTGTGAGGTATAATATATATTAAATGTAAGTTATTATAGTTCGTCTTGGATTGTGTTATTTTCTACGTACTTTATAATGAAGTAAATATGTTCGTATTTAAACATTTATAGTATAAAATATTTTTGTTTGCTTATTGTTGTGTTCTTAATTATTTTATCCCAAATGCTACCTTTCTATTTAATAATCATGAATAGGTAACATTATTTAATACATTAAGAGTTATTGCTCTGGACGCTTGAATTTCGTTTCAGGGGAAATTTGCAGTAGGTATCTCCTCCAATACTCCCACCTCAAAAGATAGAAACCATTCATTCAATTGCATCCGTAACACTCGTATACGACACGGTATAGACAAATATTGTTTTTGGATGGACTCCGTATAATTTGAAAGATTCGATACGCGGTGTATTGTGTTATTAAACATTTGTATTTTAAATATTAAAAGCATGTGAAGAAGGAAGGATTCTTATGTTAAGAGAAAGAATTTAAAAACCACGGGCATTAATTTAAATAGAGCTAAAGTAAAAACTTTTGTTCGGATTATTTTAGATGGTATTTTAGGTAAGAAACTAAATTAAGTACATATAAAATATTTTGCCGAAGTTCCTATTACTTTCGTATTAATGAGAATTGCTTTTTAAAATATTTAAAAGACTAAATTTGAGCCTGAAATAATTATTTTCAATTCTTGAGTAATTTGGATCATGAATTTTTGTTTTTTCTTTTCTTTAAGATCGTGATGAATTTTCTACAACATCAAATATAATTTTGGAAAAGGTAAATAAAACATGTTACGTTGTATTTACATTACCTGCATTATATAAATGAATAAATGAATTTATTTAATTATTTTTAGGGAAATTTACAAAATTCTTCAAAAAAAGAGCAAGAAAATAATGTAAAGAATTTTTTTATCGTATGACATTTTTTTGTATACCTATCTACATGTATTTATTTATATAATAATAAGAATATTTAACTTTAATTAAATTACTTTTTTAGATGAATAATGATGAAAATGATGAAGTTATAATATCTGAACAAATTACGAAGGTTTAAAACCTAAATTTTTTTTACAAATATTTGGCACATTTTTAACTTTAGAAAATGTCATTGATTTGTTGTTTGTAGAATTATAAATATATTTTATGTACCTATCTATTTTAGGAGAATTTGCAACATTTTAAAGCAATGCCTTTTAGAAATCTGGATAATTTAAAAGACAGTAATAAGGTAGAACATTACTTTTTGACAAAAAAAAAAAATGTAACAATTGATTAACATCGTGTCTACTTAAGTAGGCTATATATGGAAAACTTTTTTATTGGTTTTAGAAAAAACAATATTCCTGATAAAAAATTGTGCATAGTCTAAACTCTAAAAACAACCATCAGATATCATATTTTTTGAGTCGTATACGAGGTGTGTCAAAAAATATAAATTTTTCTCAAGAGTAAAGTATATTTATTTTTGACAAACCTCGTATACTACTGATAAAAATTGGTTCCAGATGATTTAATTTTAGGTTTTAAGTAACGAAGAACCATTTATGAAAAATAACTTTTTTTCCTAAAATTAATAACATGCCGATTACTTACGTAGACAATTAGCAGCATATAGAAAACTTTATTATTAATTTTGGGAAAAAATGTATTCCTTATAAAAAAATGTACATAGTCTGAAAAAGAGGCAGATTATGCAAAGGAAATCGGTCAGGTCGATAAAAATGGAATTCCATTAGTAACCGTTGTGGCAGACGGATGCTGGTCTAAAAGGTCTTATAGATCAAACTATAATGCCCTAAAAAATAAGTTTTGTTCGATTTGTTTAGCCAATAACAAACTGAACATAAATGCTATACAGACTATACTGGAACTTCTACAGGAATGGAATCCAACATTTTGTTAGAGGGTTTTAAACATAGCGAAAAATTGCATGATATTAAATATGCAAAGCTAATTTCTGATGGTGATAAAGCACTTATAAAAATTTTTTAGAAAATAGGCCCTATGATAATTTAACTGTTGAAAAAATCGAGTGTAGAAATTACTTACTCAGAAATTTTTCAAATAAATTAAAAACACTTTCCCTGGATATTATTGTCCCAACATATTCTTCGATTTAGAACATCGATTACAAAGGCAATAGCATATAGAAAAAACAATACCACAAATAAAGGCAGTTCTCAAAATATTTTATTGCTAAAAAAGGATATAGATAATTCTGTTCTATATATATTTGGGCAACATTCGAATTGCGATGAATATTTTTGGAAGAAAAATTCAGATGACACTCTCAATGTTGTACCTAATTTGAAATCTAGTCCCGAATTTTTTATAAGACTTCAGCAAATATTACATTCTTTGTCAGACCAAAGTAGAAGTCTGTTATATGATGTTGACAGCAATATTGTTGAACAATTTCACTCTACTGTCGCCAAATTTGTAGGGGGTAAAAGAGTTAATTACACAAAAGGACAATCGTACCAAAGTAGGTGTTTTGCTGCAGTTGTTTCATTCAATTCAAAATGTGGCAATTCTGAATTAAAGAAAACTTTCGGAAGTAACTCATCGCTATTAGCAGATAAATTGGAAAGACAACAACGCTTACGGGCTATAAAAGCTAAATCTAGTATAAAAAAAAAAGGTTCGGGCGACCAATACCGATTTCGACTATGGCAAAAACTGTAGCAAACCAGATTTGGATTAAAATATTTTTAAGGCAAAGAAAAAAGATTTTCTAAAAGGATTACCATCATCCGATTCTGAAAAAAGTTCAATTCAAGAAAAAACTCTTTCCCAGGCAAATATAGTAGCTTATGGCTTGAAGTCCGAAAAAAAAAATGATTACAGCATCACATTTTAAGGCAGTATGTACTAGAAGAAACACTACTTTGAGTGGATCAGTGGTAAAAAGAATAGTTTATGAGTGATCTCCAAAAGCAGCTTGCATTTCTCATGGAAAAAAATATGAAAAAGTGGCATTACACCAACTACAAGAACAAGAAAACATTTTAATTGAAGAATGTGGAATTTTTATCGACCGAGAATATCCATATTTAGGTTGGTAAATAATATGTAATATTTTTCTTATTTAAAAATATGCCGACTCTGGTACCGTTTATTTTATATTAAAAATAAAAAATTCCATAAAATATTTGTATAAACTAAAAACATTAGAAAAAAATATAAAAAGTCATTATTTAGGTGCAACACCAGATGGAATCGTTGGCGATGATCTTGTGGTTGAGGTACAATGTCCATATTAAGCGTATAAAATGGAAGTGGACGACGCAATAGAAAAAAAGAAAATTCCTTTTGGATCATTGATAAAAAACTGGGGAATATGTAGTAAATACAGAACACCAATGGTATTACCAAATACGAGGCCGGTTACATATTACTGGCCGGAAAGGATGTATCTTTGGTGTTTGGACAGACCATAAATATCCACTCAAAGTAGAGTACATACTAAAGAGAAATGATTTCTGACAAAATAAAATGGAACAAAAATTGAAAAGTTTTTTATGAATTGTATATTACCAGAACTGGTAGATCCAAGGCACGTAATAGGGATGCCATTAAGGGAACCAGCTTATATTTTAGAAGCAATCGAAAACAAAAAAACAAAAGAAAAGAATTCAAAAATAAAACAAAACTAGTTTGTTTTTAATTTATTAACGTCGGTTTTTACTGATGGGTAAGTCCAACACTGATAAGAATTGAAATACGCCAAACACGACTCGGGCAGTGCTTTGCACTAGTCGATTGAAAACGAGTAACGCCAAGCAATGCGTCGATGAAAATGCAATCATGAAGAGAAGGGAGATGAAATTACATTTACATCGTTGTATTTGACAAAAACAATGTATTTTTAATATAATAATTTGTCTGGTAAAGTTAGGTTCTTTTTAACAATTTTATTGAACTTATAGATTTTTTTCTGGTTGAACCGTTTACATTTTAATCAAAAGCGTCTGTAGGATGATAGTCCAAGCCTTTATCTTTTTGCAAAAAAAAAAAACTAATAAAATATATTTATTATTGTGCCGTCTAGAATAAAAACCAAATACTCGAAATTCACACATTTTGATTGAATTTGTGAGCAGTGCAATAGCTCTTAAAGATCTCAAAACTAATGAAAATAGGTAGGAACTTAAGAAATGTTTTCTTAATCTAATATAAACCAAAGAAAATTTTAAAAAATTCGCACAGGAATCAAACCTACAAAATCTTCTCTGACTTGCTGAGTGGGTCATTCTCTTAACCGCTTGACCATCAGGACTCTAACAGCCGTATGCATAGTCGATCGCCAGCGACTCGCCAGAGATTCATTTCGGCGATCCGCCGGCGAAAGCCCAAAAAGCTGGCGACTCGCCGGAGATTGTCACCGGAATGTCATTTCACGCAAGTTTTCATTTTCTTTTATAGGGATTATCACCGGTATGTCTCGCATTTTATTCATGATTCATTTCTTAAAACTCAAAAAATAATGAACGAATATCAAATTTTTCCCTATAAAAGAACATGAAAACTTGCGTGAAATGACATTCCGGTGACCAATCTCCGGCGAGTCGCCAGCTTTTTGGGCTTTCGCCAGCGAATCGCTGGCGATCGACTATGCATACGGCTGTTAGGGTCCTGTGATCGAAAAATTAATTAGAATCGAAAGATTTAAATCCAATCAACATGCCCAAATTCTTTTCAATTATACAGGTAAGCACACCGCAAATGCATTCTAAAATTATATATAATAATCGTTCTGTTGGGAAGAAGGACTTTTGTCGATGGCCTGTTGGGTATTGTATCTCAATGAAGAACGTTTACTAATATTAATTGTTTTAGGATTGAAAGAATTTAAATTAATTTCTGGAGATTTATAAGAAATGACGAAGTTTTATGGGACCGGAGATTTGCGATTGACGTGGCTTCTTACTTCTTTGGTGACCTTATTACTTCTTGATAAACTAGAAACTTCAACGTCTCCCAACCACAAAACGACCCCCCAAATCCACATTGAAGATTAAAGGAAATATCTACGTCACTTTTAAAGGTTTTTTGCTTCCTACAAGTATACAAAAGCTTTGTCAACATATAGCACCTACTGAACTAGATATCTTGGCATGTTACCACT